TTCCATGCTCAGATGATGTGTTAGCACAAGTATAAAACAGAAGATATATAAGGGATATACAATGGCAAGGAAAATACAGCTGTTCTAGCCATGCTTTATTACGCTAAATTATAATAATATCAAAGTCATAACAATATCCTGGGAAGCAGTGCATCATTTTCAGGCCTGAATTCCTCTTCCACTTTAAGGTCTAGTCATTCAGCATGGCACCAACTTGAAAGTGCTAAAGTGTACAACACGAGAACTGTCTTTGCCATCAGTTAAAGAAGATTCACCGTGGAAAGGTTTATCCCCTCTTTTGAACGGATCAGTTATTTATGCTTAAGAACTATTTTAGATTTAGTTTTGCAGGCTTCCAGAATACTTCTTATTCAGATGCATGTAGCATGTTCTGAAAATTCCTTGGTTTTAATTAAAAGGAGAAATTCCACCAGGACTTTGAGACTAGTCATTCTAGAAAAACATATCTCTGAAGTTTTGGTTCACTGAACCAAGATGATTGTTTTATTCCCAAACTTTGTTTCCTCATCCCTTAAAGAAATAATTTCTTTAAATTACCAAATTATTTGAAAAAATTTATATTCTTTTGGGGAAAAGGAATTTCCACATGTTTCTTGCACACTGAATTAGAAGAAGCTACTGTGAGTTTTCACAAATACTACTGGGGTGCAAGTGTGTCATTTGACATCCCACAAGAAGAAAAAATACTCATATTTGCAACATGGGGATTTGCAACATCAGTCAAGGGGAGGAAACCTAGAAATATCTGCTTGCTGCTGTACTTGTTTACTGCCATTGACAGCTCCATGACTCCTGAGAAGCTACTGAAAGGCATGTCAGGGCAACTGTCAGTATTTGAGGAAGTCTCCAGCACACTTGGGACAAATTCTGGGGACTGATGGCACAGTGATGCCCCGCTCTGGGACAGCAGACCATAAGAAGTTGCAGAACTGGGGCTTCCTAACTGCTGGTTCGAACTATTAGGGTATGTCTGCTCTCAAATAACACAGTTTAAGCCCTGGCCTTTGATGATCTTCTACACTGGATAAATGTTTGTTTGCTCTCTGCTTTGGGTGACAGCAGGCTCCTGGAGCAGCTCCCACCAGGCAGTTTGAAAGTAGTGACACCAGCTTTGTGTCTGTCTACCCACCACCACCCTCCAGCATGACCCCAGACCATTCTTGATCTCCATGTGGTCCTGAAAGCTTTGATGCCCCAACTTGGGGCATGAATCTTGCATCTGCAATTTCTTGCCATTAAAGTGTGCTATGGTATGTTAGAGCAGAGTCTTCAGATTGTTTTGAAGGTTGGAAGCTCAGAAAGTCACATATTATCATCATCATCACCACAATAACAATAACAGTAACAGCGGCAGCAGCAACATGCCCAGCTGTTCCACAGGGCAGGCTTCTCTAGAGGCAGTCAGCTCTGAGCCATCTGAACAGGACTGTTTTATATGCCCTTTATACTTCTTTGGGAGCATCCTGCCCTAGAGCAGCCAGAGCACATTTAATCTCTTAGCAGTCACCTACTGGTTTGTCTGGACTGGTAAAATGGGCTGTGCTCTGGCACTGTGGACAAATGGCAGTCCCTGGTTCTCCCCTGCATGGCAGACACTTCTTCTCCCAAAATCAAGGTGGTCATATCCAGACTGCCTGGCAGGAAAGGTCCTTGGTATCTGCTGCTCTCCTCACAGTGCCCAGTACCAGCAACCGGTACCACCCTCAAAACCACACCAGCAGCCAGGATAACCCAGCCAAACAATGTGGGAAACCACAGGGCAGTGCTCAAACATATGCCCCAACCCTTACAAACCACAAATGGAGCTCAGATGCTCCGCTAATGGGCACATCCTGCAGTGTAGCAATCCAAAATTCGGATATCAGCAGAAAAGGAACTGCTAGGATTATGTAGCAGGCCATGGACAACAGAGGCTAAGGGAAATTTCATCATCTAAGGGCCAGACAAGACCCACTGATATTCAGCCGTGTGGACTGTCCTATCTCCTGCAGCAGGATATGGAAAGACTTTGTGATGATGCTATCAGTCCATGCAGAAGCCCATTTGTTTTCTCTCCTCCCTTGTAATCCTTGTTTCAGGAAATGTTAACCATCCTCCCCACAGTGTAATCCTGGTTACTGGAAATATTAATCCTCTTCCCCCCACATGTAATCCTGGATATGGGAAATGTTAATCATTTTTCCCCCCTATGTAATCCTTGTTACTGGAAATGCTAATCAATTGCGTAGTTCCCTAGTTGGCATAACCTGGCCTCCTCATTAGCATGTTCTGCCCCTGAGACCCTTAAATAGCGTTTCATGTGTTCAATAAAGATTCCAGTTTTCACCCTCAAAACCTGAGATCATTTAGTTTTTGGACCTTTACACTGCAGTGCCCCCTTGTCTGGTTCCTGCCAGGGAACCTTGGACACATTTTCTAAGAATATAAAACTTGAAAGCTATCAGAAGTGCAGGACTACTGGCCAGATGCCTGAGCTTGAGAGCTGGTGGGAAACCAGGCATATTGTCATTGGAGCTAGGCTTTCCAACAGCTTAACAGTCCAGGAATTGCAAGCACCTGGCATTGCTAAAATATACATCAAAAATATCCAGGCATTGCCTATACCTCTCCCCACAGGTGTATGTTCCTATGGAGGGAGTGCTCCAAAGGGGAATGCAACAGGAAAGGAAATAATCTGATGGCTTTGTAGGCAGAAAAATAGATTGACCTTGAAGCTCCAGAGAGGTAAGGGAAACAATTAAGAAAGTTCTCCAGGTATCTTGAATCAACCTCCATAAATTTTTATAACAAAATGCTGTGGCACTGCTCTTGATGTAAAATCTGGTAGCCTATTGCCATATCAACACAGTACAGGAAGCTCAGAAGAAACAGCTTGAGCCATCAGAAAAGGCTGAATGTGTTGCTTGTGAAAAGTACCCGGACTGACAGCTCCAGAAGCTAAAGGGTTTTACCTCTCTTTTCCAGTACGTGGCATTAATAACAGTGGGACACGTGTCAAACAGCCCACCCCAACCTCATAAAAGAAGGGAACTCTGAACTGGGACCCATATGCTATGATAAGTCTTGAGCTGAATAGCAGTGAGGTTAAGAAAAGTCAGAGGGAAAGGTGAGAGAGGAAAGACAAATCCCTGAAAGTCTTTGAAGCTGCTCATTCCAACACTTGGGAATAGCAGAGCTGAACCTAAATTTTTCAAGAACTGTTACGTTCATCCCAAGTCCCTCAAAGGGCAAACTACTCTTACACATATTACCCTAGAAAATGTTATTCATGTTGTTCCAAAGGAATGCCCAAAAAACCAAAGCAGGAATTAGATCTCCAAGCCTACACAGATATTACTCATTTTTTTTACTCTGTTAGCAGTTTTTTCTGATGTCTTAGATGAGCCAACAATAAGTGACCTTTTTGTGATGTAGACTACAATACTGGCTGTAATCACATACTTGGAGTAAAAAGTAAAAAAGTGTTTTTAAAGAAAAACAGAAATTTTTTTCATCTAAATAACTTGACAGCCATGAGGTAGAAGGGATCTTAGTCCATCTGCTCTACTACTATCAGCCTCAGGTGTTCAGGTATTCCCCATATCCCTCCTCCATGTCAAAACTGCCATAAGCTGGAACACCAGCAGCTGTTGCATCCCATAAAAAATATTCTCCTAGCATTGGTCATTTCACCTCTACTAGTCAGTGCTGTGTAGCCACAAAACCAACTGACATTGGCAGTTTTTTTCCCTTAGCCACAGTCCAAGAGCCTTTCAGGGGAGCTACTTCCAAGCTTTGCTATGGCTGAGAGATTCCTACCTGTGAATACTGAAAGACCGTGAACCCTTAGATGTGTCCATGAAATATTCTGGGTTCAAATAACTATTTTTTATCAGTAACATGCTTCACTGGAAAATGTCTGGCTAGCTAAAGGGAAGCACATTGACTGATGTTATTAGTTGTCCAGTCACCCTAAGCTACCCCATTAGCACTTCCATCTTAAAAGCCCAAATGTGCTATGCTTTTCTTTTCCCACTCTTCAATCTTATGTATGACATCAGCCAATGATACACAGGTAAATTAGTTTTAAAATAATATGGTGTATACTCATCCCATTATAATCACATTATAACTGACACTGAATCATTGCTCCACAAACAGGTAAGCACAGAAAGGAGCAGGGCATCAAATAGTCCCAACATTTCATAACTTAAAATTCCAGAAGTCTGAGTCACCCCATGGCTTACCAGAGGACCAACACTGGAATGTCCAAGAGTTGCCTGTTTGACCTCATACACTAAGTATCTAACATCATCTTAACACAGGACTTCAGCTAGAGAGTGAGAAAAGCTGTTATTTAAATTATTTTAAAATTAAAGATGATTTAATGACTAAAGATTTTGATTGGAGTCAAGAATTAACTCCAGAAGTAACCACCAAATCCTACTTCTTGTGTTGAAAGCTGGCATGTTTTGAGCACCAGACCCACCCAGCTCCTGGTTATGGTGAAGCAAAGCATTTGCAAATGTCCTCATGGCCTCAGGGGGCAACTGAGTTCTGGCACAAGTTTTGTGCTAGGGGAAAGTGGTTTTACAATTTAGAAAATAGAGCTGCTCCAACAAAAGGTGGTTATTTAATTATAGTACTTTAATAGAGACGCTTTATCTGTAATAAACAAAGCGTGTGCATGCAATTACATTATTTAGAATATCGACTACCTGTGCAGTGCAAAAATATTGCTCTCAGTTGCTTTGTTAAAATACAGCTCAGCTCCATGCATGTGGTTTTTCTGCTCTCCAGGGTGTGGAACTACTCCCTGAGAACTGAAATAAATATCCACAGGAGATAGGACCAAATTGCCTCAAGTCTTTCACAGGGATATACTGGCATCTCTCCAATGCTAAGTGAAGTCTCTAAGGGCTTCCTGGTGAATTCAGTGAGCTCCATGTAGAGTTGCTTACCCACTCCTCTGAGAGTAACCACATCTCTAAACCAGAGACAGTAAGAAAATGTTGCTTATCTGTACAAAGAAGAACATCTTTAAGTTATGACAAAACATATAATTATATTTATCCAATATTGATGTTTCTATTTACCAGAGCAGAGAGGATGAGGCACAGAGTTTCAGTGAGTTACCAGGGCTTACCTAAAGCTACAGTTTCTAACCAATAATGTGGGCTTCAGAGGTGAGGAACGAGCATATTTTATCTGAACTATAGCCCAGTTCCCAAGCTAGCAGTCCCACAAGCCCAGTGTGGGCTCCACACGGACTTGTTGGGCTCAGGGACATGGTAATGAAAGCTGGGAGTCACTGCTCCAGTGGAGTGTATGTACCTGTAGGTCCTTGTATCAGAAGACCTAAGGTATAAGGGGGTTATTTTGGTTTAAAAAACCATCATTTATTTACCACACTAAAAACCCCACAGGTATTTCAAGAAGTTATTATGTAAAGTTAGATACGTATTTTTTTTCTTGTAACTCAAAATCTTCTCTCTTTTGACACCAGAGCAAGGGACAATGTGTGTTATGGTATTTTAGATCTACGCATGGCCAAAAAGGACATGTATATTGACCAGTCATCTGCCATCTACAAGCATGGATAATGGTCCACTTCTCTCATGCATTATTTGTGGATTTTCTTCCCTCCCCAACCAAAAAACAACAGACTGATTGACAAACAGACTTTTCACTGGGAAATCAGATTAAAAAATATTTCACCAAACTCTGTGTAGTCTAAAACTCCAAAGACAGCTTGGGGCTGCCACACTACATTTTCAGAATATCTGACAGCCAGGGCCAATCATAGCCTAAAATTACAGAAAAGAACAATTTCAGAAATTAGCAAGCAAAGAGCTGCCCTGGACACCCAAAAGGAAATACCAACTAGACACAGGCTACCGGATCCTTATCCCCTAAAGTATTTGAACTCTTCTCTCTGATCAGTATTCCCAGCAAAGATATTTCTGCCGGACTTATGCTTATAACCAGGTTGGCTTTTTCCCATGAAAAAACAGGGAGGAAAAAGGACTTTTTTCCAATCCTATTTAGCAAATACACAAGTGGCCTTTCTTCTAATCTATTTAGTTTTGAGTGTCTCTCTTATTGACATAACACAAAGGATGAAATCTTCATTAGAAGAAAGGTTCAAAACTGGCTGGCACAGACCTGAGGTTTGCAACACAAGCCAAAGGCAGAGGCAGACTCACCTCTCTTCCCTCACCTCCCTCTCTCCCTTCCTCCCTCATCTGGGAGCACAACTGAGGCAGAATTTATCCCATATTAATCTGCTGGTTCTCACCTAATGAATCAGTAGGCACAAGGATTTTGAATTAAGCAAATGAAGCAGAACACAGATTTTAAAACAAGAAAATGCCCTGACTGCTCACGGGTGCAAGAGGGTACTTGGGTAAGTCAGTTCTTGCCCTTTCATGGCTCTTTTTTTTTGCATGAGACTGATGTGGCAGACCCAGACCCAACTGTTGTGGGAAGACCCAGAAACTGGAGTGACTTGGTTTGCAGGAATGTCTACTCTGAGAATCCCCTGGGCCTTGGAGAGGACTGAGAGCCCGATTAGCTCAGCAGACTCCCCATGATGTACCTAATCCCGAAGTAGCTCCAGGTAATCCCGGGATACTACGGGCAGGTACAGACAAACCTGGACTTGTTCCACTTGGCGGGGTGCTGGGATGGGAAGGACAGGAGCATGGTGTGGATGGGAGCTGGCTCAGACGTGCCAGATCACTGCATTAACCCAGGGTTGAACCCGAGCTCTGCTCCAAAAATACTTGGCTTTACTCTGTACTAACACAGGTTTATGGCTTCCAGAGCTAAGCCTGTAAATCCATATGGAGAGGGACACTTCACAGATTGACAAACTCAGGTCCCTGGCAGTTTGGGAATCCTTTTGCTATCTTCTGTCTCACACTGCAGATGACTAAAAACTGAGACAAGGTTTAGAGCAATGCCTAAATTGTGAAAGTAACCCAGAAAATTACCAGCTGAGTAACAACCGTGCAGTGGAACTGACATTTCACAGGAGTATATGTAGGGAACAGAGGTTTTAAGGCAAGTCCAAGAGAGCAGCTGTTTTCATCCTGTTACTGCTCAACTCTGGGGCTGCTGAGCATTTTCTATAACATTATCTGAGCAGAGGCCAGGATCCATCAAGATTAATATGGCTTGTTTCTTGGCTTTTCTGAGCCATGGCTTAATGAAATAAACTGGAATAGATTGGACAGAGTTGGCTAAGTGCCCAACACAAGCCTCGTTGTCACTTGGGAAGAGTAGCAGGCATCAGTATGAGAGGCTACAGGCTTTTGCTGCCAAGGGTTTTATTCTATCGTTCCTGATTTACGGGGTCAGGCTTGGTAGGTAGCCTGACTCTGCAGCTCCATCTCTTGGCAAACATCAGGTATCAAACATACTGCACAGGCTCCACGTACTTCAGGCAGAGATGCACAATGAATACTTTTCGGTGCAAGATACTCCTCATTTCCTTAGCGATAATGGAGGGACACAACTCTCACCTAAAATAGAAGAGGGAATTATCTCGTGTACTTCCTTCAGTGTTTGTTATATTATCAACTGTTGCTCTGGAAACAGTCCCCAAGTCAGAAACCAGCAACTGACAAAGAAACTGGGCTTTGTGTGGAGGTTTTTTGCATTTTTTTTTAAAAATACCTAATTAAATTTTTTTAACTGCTACTATTTTTCAGTCATGAGAAAAGATTTAGCAATTCTTGAATAAGCATTTTTATCTAAAAAAGAATTTTGTCATCTTCTCCGATCAGCCAATTTGGCCCTATGATGGCCGATGTAATCATGATATACATATCTACACTGTTCTCCTTGTTTGTAGGTCACTATGTCTCATGAAAAAAAAAGCCTACAAATTTGCAAACAATTATTATTTGCTGCACCGTGGCCTTCTGCAGCCTGTACGACTGATGATCTGATTGACATCTGTGCTTCCGAGTGAATCTTAGTGATTTATCCTAGTTGATAAAGTGGTTTCATCATAAGTACAGGCTAGTCAAGACTAGTCAGACTTTTTCAGACCTGCTAATAAATCGTAGTAATGCCAGATTAATCTGACCTGGATTAAAAGTATTTTAAAAATGGACAATACAAAAAAGTACAAAATTACTCAAGTTATGTTGTAACAAGTACAGATAAACTCAGGCTCTGGGAATGGAGAGAAATAACATGCAGATACAAAACAATCTTGGACAATCACGTGACAAAAGATTTTTTTCTGGGGGTTTGAAAATTAACAAAGAAATGGGAGAGTGAAAATGGTGGAAAGCAAAAAAATTTAAGTAAATCCAGAGAGGAGCTTGGATGAGATATCAGCAAAGCAAGATGCCATCACAGCTGAATGCAGCATTTTCAAACAGAAGATGATGCTTTCTGAGAGGAAGAATATGAACTACATCTTCTAGGTTCTAAATTTAACTGTCAAGAGTCAGAAAAACACTTGGTTGTCACTGTAGGTATTTTGCCATAGATGTCTCGTAGTGCTAAAAAGAGGAAGAGTTAGGAAAGAAAAAGAATGAAACAGAGAGGCAATTCTGAAAACACTTTTTATTACCCAAACCAAGTGCATCTGGATCAGTTCTGGACACCTTGAGAAGGACAGAGCAGACATGAAAGGAGTTCAGAAATGACAATGAAAATAATTAGAGGCATTGAAAAGCTTATAGATGAATAGTAAAATCAAACCTTTTTGCTTCAGAGAAGGGAAAAGATGAAGGTGTTCAAAATAATGAATGGCACCAAAGAAAATGGGTCCTGTTCATCATTTCCCATCATACAGGAGCAGGAGGGCATCTGCTGAAAATGAAAGACAAAGGGTGAAGAGCAATCCTTTCCCACAGCATATGACTGCCTGGTGAAGTTCCTTCCCACTGGAGGCAACCGAGGCTGGGAGTTTGCAAATTAAAAGGGAATGGAAATGTGCATGGAAAAAAAGACAATATGTCAAGTGCTAAAAATAAAGATGTGATTTGATTTTAATGGAAGCTACCTTCCAGCGTAGGCTGCAAGACATAAAGTGGTCTTTGAGGGTAGGCAAGAGCAAACTTTTTCCCCTCCAAGGAGATTCATTCCATCTATCTTGCTCCAACATTTCTCAGACCTTTCAATGCCAGATCTGGCCCTTTCCATTGTCCCAAAGAGGATGCTGGAGCGGACACAGGAATGCCTCTTTATGAATTAGCAGGTCCTGTTCTACTGCACCAGCAAATAGGAAAAAGCTGGGAGAAGCTAAATGTGGCCACGGGGAGACAAAAACAGACAAAATTCACAAGACTGCAAAAATGAAAACCAGACCCACAGTTCAGCTGAGTTCCCAAACAGCCAAATTTTGAGAGAGTGGTGTTCCCACTTTGAAACCAGCAGGGGAAAACAGAGAGAAGCCCTGAGCACAGTGCTCTTCAGAAAAGATTAATAAACTGACACAAGACACTGAGAGAAAATGTCACTATCTGTGCAAGAGAGAAGAGCCATGAGCAACCCAGGAAGTACAAGGGCAGCAAGAGATGGCAGGTGTCCAAGAAAAGATTGGAAATGGTGTCTTTGCTCTAGAGAGGAACAAAGATACCTCAAATTTCCCTAACTGGTCTTATTTTCATCCCTGCATGCTCAAACATGGTAACTCATACTCAATTTATAGCTTTTGTTAACAGTTTTCGTGTGTTGTTGCCATAGTTGAAACACACCGTATGATGATTCCATTTTTTATTTAGTGGCTTGGCTAAAACTAAATCTTTTTTGGCTTTTTTTTGAAGATATGAAATAGAAAAATGGGACCAATTTTGGCATATCTGCCATATTGCATATCTTTCAGCATACTCTGTGTTGAAATATTTGTTAAGGTCCACTGTGTTGCTCTCAGGGATTTCACAACCAAGCAGGGGTGCTTTACCACTTTTGCAGATTCCAGCCAGGAGTCCCTCTCTCTTCATTGCCTATTCAGGGACTTGGGGTGGGCCAAACCTCTAACCTACAAACAAAGGTTTGTGAACAAAAAAAAGATGGTATAACACACACACGAGTTTTCAGTATTTCATTATTTCACTATTTCAGAAATCCTAGTTTCAGTATGTTTCTCTTCAAAAGTAGCAGAGGCTCTGAAGTCTGCTATGACTGGAATCTGAAATGCAACGACTATTCCTTTGCATGTGTGGATGGCAGTCACTAATATCAGTTCTTCTCCACAGTTCTTTTGTTGTGCTATTTTAACTCCACTTCTCTCAGCTGATCTTCTAACACAGCATCCTCCCCGGATAGTGTGGTTAATTATACAGCCACTCTGCTTGCAGAGTTAAGCATATCATAGCTTTTTACACAACTAATTTTTTTCTTGGGTAGCATTTTCCAAGAGTCCTGATGAAAAGATTCACTTGACGCCTCTATCCATGCATTATGTGTTCCTTTTTGCTTATTGATTTGAAATTCCATTGCATATAAAATCATTCATTTGCAAGTAGTGTTCCTTTCCCTTAAAGATACATAAAATATTACTTGCTAGTTCTTTCTTCTATAAAGGACAAGCTGCTCTTTTTGAGGGCTGTGCAATTATTCTGAGATTTTCCCCATTTCTGTACAGGAGTTCATCTCTGAGTACAGCCTAAGGGGAAAGTCAGGCAGAGCAGCAAGGAAAAACAGCCAACTACAGCCTGGGAAGAATTTCACACACCTCTTTCCTTCAGTCCCTCAGTACACACTGACAGAAAGAAATACAGCTGAGAACATCATCAACCTGATCTGCTCTTTGATTTTTAATTTTTGTATAGACGGGCTGTTCCAGTGCACAGATAATGATCAGCAAGTTGATGAAGTTTTGCAATAACTAATATAAGTTTTGAACCAGTTCTTAGAATGGTTAGCATTTTAATACATGCAGAGATAATTTGCTGTTCAGCACCGGGCAGGGAATATTAACCAGCCAAAATACTTATTCACAGACTTTTCACAATACAGTTCTCAGTCTGCATAAGACTTCAAGCCAGAGATAGGTACAAGGATTTCAGTGAAAAAAAAAAAGTAAAGTCAAAAGTCTTTGAGTGTAAGCAGCTTAGAGTACATAAAATTTTTGGGACAGATGATGATTGTCAATGAAATAGAAAGGACAAGCTTGTCTAGATTATCGTCTAGAGCTTAAGCTTCTCTGATGACACCAGTGCGATAAAGTATAAATACAAAACAAAAAAAATGAAATTAGTATGATATCTTCAGCCTCTGCACTAGCATCAGCTGGTACTGCAGAGGTGCTCTCATATCATTTGGTTCTGCATCCCTGCTCCCTATAAAACAGATGATGTGCTTTCCTGGGTTTTCTGAAGTTCAGTTGAGACAGGCATCTTGAGTTAAAAACTTAACCCAGGGAAGACCAAAGTGATTGTGGCAGAGTGTGAGCATGTGCGTGAAACCTGAAAGAAAAAGCAGAGGTAAGATCCTTTCCATTGCTGCTCATCCGTAGGCTTATCCCGCAGGCACCCCACCCAAAGACTTGGCCTTGGCCTTGGATATACAGGTAACACAGGGTGGGGTGGGGGGAACAACTTTCTTTCGTACTCATGCCTTTACAAGTAGCAACTCCTCCAGCTGGACAACTTTGCATCTGCGTCAATTAATACAGCTCACCAGTCAGGGAACTTTGCATTTTGTGAACTAACACTTCAGTGAAACCCCTCTCATCTGAAGGAAAATAATTTACTTAGCCAAGCCAACTTGTCTTTTCTAAAATAGAAAAATAGACCGGCCAAGCCAGAATGTAAATTTACAAAGTGATTTGGAGAAACTGAAAAGTACTTTAGAAAATCAGAAGGAAAATAAGAAGAGGGAAAATTATAATGTACCAATTAGAGCGGAATGTGAGCTGTCCATGCTAATGCAGGATTCTTCCTAATTTGTTTTCCAGGAGAGTCTTCAAAAAGATTGAAATTTAGTATTAGCACATCAGACTGGCCGCAAGAATGACAGCAATAATAATAAACCACCATATTTCAAGTAGTCAAGAGAAAAGTTAGGTCTTTTAGGTTTTATTCACTGTCTTAATAGCTCACATCCATTAAAATTCATAGAAATGTCAATGGGATCACAATTTCATTGCATTTTTGAAAATCAACAACCAGTAGTCCTGTGACTACTGGTCAGGCTCATGAAAAGGTCTGACAAAAGTAAAAAAGAATGTGCTTGCATTTTTTGTCTTAGTTGCCATCAATTCCATTTCTGAATCCAAACAAGCATATGTGCACACATGCACACATCGATATACATACTTACAACTTTTTCATAATGGTATCCTTGCTTCCACAAAAAAATAAAGAAAAAAAAAGTGGTTTGTGTTGTTTTACCAATGCAGAATCATAGTAAACACTGAATTGCTTCACCCCTGGTAAGGTCCATTATAATCCAGTTGCCCCTCACCTGCTCCTTTACCTCACTGCACCCTTCAAACCCGCTGCAGCAAGCCAGCCCCCAGCAAAAGTTCAAAGTCTTATCACCTACCTGCATCGCTGAAAATCTGCAGCCCCGTGGCTTTGGGGGAGTTGGAGCAGCCAAGGGAAATGGAGGGACAGGGGAAAAGCTGCTGTGTCACTGTGGAATGCTTGGCACCCCATTGCAGGGAGTGAGACAGCAAAATCAGCTGCAGTCAAGCCTAATCCTCACTGACAAGGGGGAGAGCAGCAAAGAGAAAGCTGAGGAGGAAACAATAGTGATTTTCCCTTAGCAACAGTGATATTTGAAAGCATAAAGATAAAAATTATTTTGGGGTTGCCTGGACACTTAGCAAGAGTTGGGGATTATTTGTGCAGAGGAGTTCAGAAGAGGCTGCAAGCTCTTTGGGAGGATCCTAAACTGAGTGTAAACTGAGTAAATCTCTGGTCAGCTGTGAGAGGGAAGCTGCAGTGATTTATTTTAGCTGAAAAGCATTTTTATATACTTGTAGGTTACTTGGGACCTCTGCTAACCCCGGTGACCATCTTTGCAGCAGCATTCAAGGCACCTGCTGTTTTCACCTCCTGCTTCTCTCAACAGACACTTTTATTTTCAATGTTCATGGTTGTTTTGCCTGTGAAATTCAGTGCAAGGGTACTTAAATCTTCTTTTGTGAGCCTCTCAGCTCAAAAGAAACACAAATAATAACAAAATACCCCAACTGAAGCTATCAGAAAGGCCTCTATCATTTCTACCTGTACCTTCTGGGGGTCCAAGGCACATTGTTCCCGCTCATTTTGTGGGACAGCCAAGCCCCAAAGTCAGGACCCAGTTGGTGACTGTCAGCAAACAAGGGAAACAGAAATAACAGGCTCTAAGAGAAGAATCTAGAGCAGGGGCCCCAAAACATTCACATATTGCCTGTTCCATTGCAAAGATGACCAGCAAAGGCCACCAGCAGGAACTCTTCCCAGATGTGTTAGGTAACTCCCTACTGATATGGATTACATTAGCTTTCCACATACAGCTAAATTTTTTTTTTGCTGTCCTTGAAACTCATTAAAATACACATTAAAAGTGTTTTCCTTTTAATTTTTTTAGCCATTTTAAAAATTAGATTGCTCCATATGTATTATATTTTCAGGTAATTTCCTGGGATGGAGAACACCTTTGGGTAAAGTCTTTGTTTCCTTAAACTTAACCCAGCTGTACTATCCATACAGATGAACACTTTTCAGAAATAAGGTACAGATAAGTCCAGCAGTAAGTACAGATCAGTTTCTTTGCCATGCAGAGGATGTCTTTCCTTGTGCAGTTTTTCAGTTTCAGTGTGCTTTGTCCTCAGCTTATGCACCATTTGCCTGTTTCTTCAGCCTTCCTTGAGCAAGCTCAAAATTTAGGTTAGGCAGCAACTAAGCTGGAAGATGGCTCTGACCAACCCTGACTGCACACATTGCTGCAAATAATCTCCTGTGTTGAAAAATCTCTCCCCCTTGGAGGGCAGCTTCCCTCCAGCAGCAGTTCATGTAAAGGGATTTTGTGAAAGGCCAAAGCATCCTTTATGCAACCCCACAAAATCCTAGCCAGATCATGCCACCATGCATCAAAAAAAGAGAGCAGAATTGAAACAGCACCTGCCTCATGCTGCCTTTCTGCCTGGAGAGAGGAGACAGCCCTGTGCATGAAGGGTGTGGGTGGGAGAGAGTGAAGGAGGCAGGTGCCGCTGGATGGGTCAGGCAGGCATGCCAAGGGCTTTGGCCACATCCAGCTGCCTCCATTTACTTTAACTCTTGCTCCTTCGGAGGGGATGGGAAAAGCAAACCCTGGAGAGGAGCTGGCAGTAACAAGGCTGTCTAAAAGGCCACCTTGGAGGAATTGGGCAGTCTCCACCTCAACCCCCTGCTTTCCACCCACAATCCCTTCCCTCTGCCCCCCACATCCTCCCCAGGTTTGCTAAAGGATCCTGATTTACACATCTTGTTTGTCCATGAGCAGCCTTATTGATGTCCACACCCCTCCATCCTCAGAAAGGTCTCCTCAAAGTGACTGACAGTGTTGTCACATGCTATCCCTTTTGCCTGGAGCTGCACTTCCATGGCTCTGAGATGCTTCAGCCTGAGCAGTGGCTGAAAGTGAAGAGCAATACCCCATCTAAGCATCATGTAAAAGACATCTGATTCAGATATGAAGAGAATGGGGACAATCAGTCTGAAGGGTTTTGGAGAGGAAGGGGGCAGATGAGGACCAGCAGCTGGAGGGAGAAAAGGCAAAGAAGATCAGGAGGGCAAAATGGAAGACACAGGTTTGGAGAATAACAAGAAAATGAGGAAAACAACATTCAGGGGGAGTAGAATTGGAAAACTGGGACTGGCTGAGTAGTGAGAGCATGAAAGAGCAAAGCAGGGGTTGGTGTTCAGCAAAGGAATAGGAAGAATAATGTATAAATAAAACATAGCACAAGAAGTACAGAAGTCTGGGGAGAGCCAGGAATGCAGAGCAAGCATGTGGCAACAGGAGAGAGCAAGAAGTGCAAAGCAGCAAGCAAAGAAAAAGTAGAAAGATTAAAGCAAAAGTTTTGGGACCTGAGAGGTATTGAGGCTCTCCTTTTTTTTTTTTTCAATTTTCTGTCCAGAAATGCCTATGGGAGTTTCTGACAAAGCATCCCATATCTCCCAAAAGCCACCCCACAAAAGGCAGCTGGCGGCTGCTCTCCGCCACCTACTTCATTTCGCACCCAGCACCAGTTCTGCAGGGAAATTCACATTTTTGTCCTGGCTGTTAGCATGTCCACAGGTATCAATAGTATTATAAATCTATGGGTTCTCTTTGCTTTTTAGAAAGCCAGGCTCCCAGTCTTGATTCCATCTGCCACAGCTGGTAGCATAATGTAACCCTATAGAGAGAATATACGCTAGGAGACACAATCTGCAAAGGACTCTGCTCCACTTACTGAGTTCACTTCTTTTTAAGATACAAGATTTCAAATTAAATATTTGAGCCAGTGCAAAAAATCCCAAATGTGTTCCTCTTAAATTCAAACGTGGAAGGAAAATATTTTGATTTTATTCTTCTGGAGGAAAAAACAGAAGTATTACACTTCCAGAGTGACACAATTACACTTCCCAGAGGGGTTTCCAGCTAAAAACAAAACCCATCAATGAACAATTTAATTTTCTTTAAATGGCATTTTCCCTCAATAAATGAATAAATTTACTTCATTTTATTACCTCAAACTTTCTATTGTTAATCTGTAAAGCACAGTAATGCTATCCATTCATCTTTTTGAGATGTTATGAAAATAAAGCCATGGGAAGCACTCAGTTGCTATAGTAATTTAACATCATAGGAAAAGGCCAATAAGGAAACAAAGGATTTTGAGTTAAAATCAAGTATGAATTGTATGGTAACCTTAAAAACCACATAAAAAGATGAGGGGAAAAAACATGCTGAGGCAAAAATTCTGCAAGAATAAATATACCATGTGTTGGCATAATTAAAGGCTCAATGGCTTACACATATACTTCCTTTCCGACATTTTCTGAGAGATTTTTAGGTGACTTGGCAACCAGAAGAATGTTTTTATTAGTTGATGGTTTGTGTGTCAAACTCTATTTGATTTGCTTTATATGAGTAATTTAGTCTCTTGCCTGGATACTTGAGGAAATTACGAAATTGCAAGTTCTTTTTCCATTAGACTAGGTACCTCATAAATATATCTAAACTATACTACATACCTATATTTAAAAACACTTAGGATAAAATCCTTGCATTTCTAACCTTCGTCAGCAATCTATTTCTTCTGCTCTGGAAGTCTTTCTTTTTATCACCATTTTATTCCACTCTATCTTCAATAAAAAAGAAATGCTTCCTAATCACAAGACGTGATGGAGCTTGCTACATTTTGAAACAGCCGTATGCTTGGGTGCTTAAGAGCATTTGGCTTTGTGCTTTGCATCTAACAACGCACCCAGGTGAGCTGCTATTGGACAGGGACTTAATCCCTGTCATGTTTAATCACTGCATTAAAAGATTTAAAGACTAATGTTAAAGACCATTCAGTTTGGGCACCATAGACCTACAGGATGCAGTTGGGAAAAGCCACTCGGTTTATCCTGGCAAAATCTATTATAAATCTTTAAGAACAAAAGCCAGGAGAGCTGAGAAGGAAACTCCTTTTCTGTGACACCCCCTCCCTGTGACTCAGACATCCACCCAGAAGCCCTGGGACTTCCTGCAAGTTTCACATATGAAGTGTTATTTGCACCATTTACTTAAATAGTTGCACTAAATGGTTAGCTCTGCTGTGCTTCTGTTCTGCATAACACCAATAAGAATGTTATTAGGTCAATACTGAAAAAAAACATCCCTGCTCAGTGCATAACTGTGCAGTGAGGATGAGTCATCTGCTCCCCAGTGCAGAGAACATGAGGGAGCCATTTTACATTCCCTCAAGAATTTGACCCCCAAATATAAAATCCCCTGCTTGGATCCCACAGTGTTGCAACGTGATCGCTAGCAGCAGTAGCTGGGGATGTTTCTGCCTGTCCAGTTGGCTAAGGAATTAGAAGTCCTTCTTGGAAGTGTGAACGTTTCTACAATTCCCCAAGTGCTGTTACTCTGTGCAACTCAGATCTCAGGCAGCTGCACATCTAGGTTTATCCCCTTGGGCCACACAACTTCGATGTTGCATAAACTCCATTGGCTTCCAAATTCGGTTCTCTGGTCCAAATCCAGTACTGAGTATTTTTAGCCTAGTAATTCATCAGCTCAAGGACTCGGATGCTACACAAGAACTATGGGGCAAATGCAGTGCCTTCTGCACTGTGTCCCAAAGTCTGGGTCTCTCAAAGTCCAGATGAGGGGTCTGATGGAGGCCACCATAGATTCTTTCTTGAGTTTCTTACAGGTTTTCTTCCCGTGGAAAGCAGGGCAGGCAGTGTGGAAGGACTGATGCATGCTGGCTCACTCCCTAATGTGCTGTCAGGGTGCAGGTATCACAGTTCAGAGCCATCCTCATAGTTACCCAGATAGAGGCCTCATGTCTCAGAGGATATACCATTCAAACTCACTTTCCCTGTCAAAGACCAAGTCTAAATCACTTCAGAGGATGCTTTGAGGATAATTAGTTTTTTAACTAGACCATTTCTAAGAGTGTTATTTAGAAGGCCAGAGAGCTTGAAGGGTATTTTGGTCCCTTAGCATGTA